TCCCAACGAGTTGCCTGAGATCTTCGGATCGCTTTCTCGGGCTTTGTTCCCGTGGCGTTTGGGATTTTTGCCAGTGCAGGTCCCAGGCTTTGCAACGCTTTGCCCTTTGCTAATGAGACGATCAGAATCGTTAGATATATTTAAGTCTTTCGATTTAAAGCTTTCGTGACTGCAAGGATTCGTCTTCTTTGGTTCTTTCGGTAAAGTCACCACGTAGAATGAGAATGAAATAATAAATTGATAAAATAAAATAACACGATAATATTCTCACGACGTTTCGGCCACAACACAAGCGGCCTTCATCAGGTGAAGGGACGAGACTGTCTGGTAGGACAGCGCTGGAGTGAAATTCTCATTCTACGTGACTTTACCGAAAGAACCAAAGAAGATATTTAAGTCTGTCTTGAAAACTCACCTCTTTAAACTGACCTTTTAACCCCCCCCCCACCCCCCACCTCCCCTAGTTCTGACCGTGTACCCCCCTGGATGTTCTGTTTATGTCCTGCTTTCTTTTCACGGTGGCGCATTCGGATCTACGGACGAAATATTGGGAATCTGCGGATGAAAACAATGATGAGCATGAACCATCTATACCAGCGTCACATCCCTCCACCAGCTAGCTAGCTCGTAGCTAAGCGGAGCTGATGCGTTGCCGTGATCAGCCCGCCACGCGAATCTGTCGGTGGCGTTTTCCTTGGCTAGGTTGACGGATCCCAGCGGGAAGCAAACAAAGGTTTGCATGGTAACACACTTTGGAGCAACACAATAAAAAAGCGGGGTAAAAACGATGGACATTAAAAAGACAACTTTTCTCTCCGTGGAAATTAAAACCTCCAATAAGTGGCGCGATGGTTGGGGGCCTGCATCCAGCATTGAATTAACAGAGGGCTGCATTTTACAAATGTAAAAACTGCCGACTGTGGGAAACAAAGAATTACGTTTAACGCAAAGACGCCTCACTTTAGGTATCCATCATAGTGCCCTAAAAGTGTGAGCAGATTAAATAATGGATCGGCAACGTTGAAGAGCCACTACCCCGAACGCTGCCTGTGATATATTTATCCTTTTAAGGCTGCGGAGTTATTGTCGAATGTGCGGAATATTGTTTATTTGAGCTTCTGCACCCGCTGCCAACGCAGCGTCGCTAGAACATTCTTCTTGTACAAAACCCTCGTCGTGGCTTAAGTTTTTTTCAACGTCTACACGTTTTGCTCTGACGATTGCCAAAGAGGATGACCCAATCCGGGGAAGAATTTTTGAATCACGATGACGGAGATGACAAACGCAAATATCATTCTGCGCGGCCGAGAGGCGACTCACTTAAAAATAAGTCACGTGCTGACAGGCGGCTTGAGTGCGAGGTGACCTTTTGACCGGAGCTATGAATAGATGAGAGGTGAGCGAGCGAGTGAGCCAGCAGGCCAGCCAGACAGCCAGCCAGCGAGTCAGTCAGCCAGCCGGCGAGCCAGCGAGCCAGCCAGCCATCCAATCAACCAGCCAGCGAGCCAGTCAGCGAGCCAGCCAGCTAGCGAGCCAGCAAGCCAGCCAGCGAGCCAGCCAGCCAGCGAGTCAGGCAGCCAGCGAGCCAGCGAGTCAGCCAGTGAGCCAGCCAGTCAGTCAACCAGTCAGTCAACCAGCGAATCAACCAGCCAACCAGCCAGCCAGCAGGCCAGCCAGCGAGCCAGCCAGCCAGTGAGCAGGTGTGGCGTGCGAGCCGAGGTTTGCCTCCAGCTTTCGTGCGCGGGCGACAGTCCCGAGAGAGCCGACGACGCCTCAACTACAGTTCTAAAACTATATATTATTTTACCAGGTAAGGCCCACTGGGCTATACAGCTTTTTTTTCAGAAGCGACCTGGCCATCACAAATGATAGCTCAACGAAGTGGCTTATCACGTGGAAATGTATAGCAGCCAAACACTCTAAACGCACGTTGATTCAAAATGTGGAGGGAGAAACCGGAGGACCCCGAGAAAAATCCACGCGTTCACGGGGAGAGAGAGAGAGAGAGAGACACGCAAACTCCAAATCAACAGCCGGCGTCAGAGTCGGGATCGAACCCACGACCTCCTGCAAACCGGGCGATGTTGTTAACATCTCCTAGCCACCGTGGCGCTCTCAACTCCAGCTGGGTCGACGCCTCAACTGTAGTTACGGCTTCGAGGGCCCACCCCGCCCCTTCTCCCGTGCTCCCTCCATCGGCTCCCGTCCTGCATCACCCGGGTGTGAAGGCACGCTCGCGTGTGCTTGACGACGCCGCGTGTCCTCGTGGCCCGTATCGCCATGTGCCACTTGGCCGGAGGCTTGCGGACGCGAGGGAGGGTTGGGAAGGTTTAGTGGGCTGGAGGCTGCCGCGGGAGATTGTGGCCGCAGGGATTGACCGTGGCTGACGATGGTGGTGGTGGTGATGATGATGGTGATGATAAGTTGAGGTCACTATTCGCGTCAGTAATTGGTCACTCTTTTGTCTCGGTTTCTCCCCAGCTCGTTTGCGCCACTTCATTCACTCCCTGAGCCCTAAATGCATCTTCAGCCAACGATTAAACATTTGACGTTGAATGTCACTGATCATGGTAATTATTATTGTTATTTGGAATAAAGCCGAATTGCCCATAATGCACCGGACCTTGTTAGTTCTCGAAAGCTCACCTTGGATAGCGCTTGGATGGGCGACCGCCAAGCATAGCAGGCGTTGTAGGCTGTGGGGCTACGTGGTGGATGGGAGATGGCAGTGTTAAAACAAAATCCACTGCTGTACTGTACTTCTATGATCCCACGTCTGTGCTCTCACAAACCAGCAAGAGATCTGGCGTGGTACAAAGCACGTTCATGATAACGCCGACGACCCACGCGGCATTGGGAGGAGGCCCTCATCCAGCAGGGGATCGACAATAGTGCTCAACATGTACAAAACAAAGATCCCCCATATAGCCTTAACAGACTGTTGGGGCAAGTGCTGTTAGCGAGCACCTATGAAGGCCGGCACAGGCGCACGAAGTGGTTGGCCAGCACCACGCCCCCAGTGCTGATGTTTACACACCCCACTCGGTGCTCATTTAAGCCTCAGTCGACCTAGGGGAGGCCCAGGACAGGCTCAAATAATCGCCGCTACCATTGGCTGTGAACGGGTATGAGAACTCGGGTCGCCGGCTTTGTAGTGCGGCGCGCTAACCGCCCCTCCGTGCGTGCACACACGCGTGCAGAACGCACGCACGCACTCGTGATGACAGCGCCGAGCACGCGGGAGTGTGCGATGCGTCTCCAGGATCGGGCCACTGAACTTGATCCAAGTCGTCGTCTCGGTGCGAGAAACGCCGAGCGGGGCTCGCCACTGTTGCCTGACGCCCGCCCGTCCGCCCGCCCGCTCGCCCACCCCCGGCTCACCCCGGCGACGGGAACGAGGAACCGACACGAACGAGGCTGCTCCACCCGATAGCGTGGCTGTTAAACTAAAAACTATAAACCTCCAAACAATAAAAGGCCCGTTCTTGAGCTATGTAGCAATTTTTTTCCCCAAGCTACCTGGCCGTCACAAATGATTAATGCTCGACGAAGTGGCGTTTCGTGTAGAAATTTACAGCAGCCGAATATTCTGAACGCGTGGATGTTGATTCTGAACGTGGAGGGGGCAAACACCCCGGAGGACCCAGAGGAAAATCCATGCGACCACGGGGAGAGAAATTCGCAAACCCCAAAATATACAGCAGGCGTCAGAGTGGGGATCGAATCCACGATCTCCTGTATACCAGGCGAGGTGGTTAACATCTTGCCACCGTGGCGAGGTGCTTTTTCGTTCGATGACTTTTCTCCAGGCAATGCTCTCCGGTTTCCTACCACGTGAAAATATTCTGTAAGGAATTTGATAACCGTCCCATGCAGGATCACCGTTGAGACTATACGTGAAGGCTAAATACCAGAACTATTTCATTGGTTTATAAAATCAGGGATGGGGAATGTCCGGCCCGCGGTCTCTGGCCCTGCCAAGGCAACCGCAGGCGGGACTCGAAATTCAATAAACCTAGGAGCAAATCTGGAAAAAAGAGTTACGAGTAGCAACATCATCAATACCAGCTAACATCATCACTCGCCTCGCCAAAGAGAAGCAGTTACAGCCATCGCATTAGGGGTGAGTTGATTAAATGTTTGACCAAATATAACAGGCTAATTTTTAAGTTGACAATTTTGTATGGCCCGCGAATAATGTTATAAATATCCAAATGGCTCTTGGCAGAAAAAAGCATGCCCACCCCTGGTTTATATCGAGGTGTGAATATACAATAACAACAACGACATGCTGGAGCTGAAATGTTTTTATGTTGGCAGATGTTAAACAACAAACTTTTTTGAAAATTCACAGCTACCTGGATATCACAGATATCACAGATATCACAGATATCCAGGTAGCTACTGAGATCCCACCACATGACCTCTGGTCCGCACACAGTAGATGGTAACACTTCCCCCGCCCGCAATGCGAGAGCAATGTTCATCGTACAATATTTGAACCAATATATTTGTTATTCTCACAGCTGGAATTTAGCCAAATGAAGTGCAGAATCGAGTTGAATGTCACGGTTTTTGTTGTTGTTGTTGTGTGCACTCATTGGTGACCGGACTGAGACCAGTGATGCCCCTACACTGGAGGACCCAATGTTATCACGGGCATTCCGCCTCCATTTAAAACGAGGGTCTCCAGCCGCAGTCAGATCTTCTATCAACGCAAGCGAGGAGGACCCTGGGGGGACCCGACTCTCCGCTTGGCTGCCGCAGCTCCCCGACCCCGGGGTCCACCTCCCGGGTCCATCTCACAACGCGACCCCAGGACAGGCAGCCAGCCGCGCGCCGTCCCGCGTCAGTCGAAAATTGATTAAATTCACGCGACGTTATATTTCGGACGAAGCCGCTGATCTCGCGCGTGAACGCGTGCTTTAGCTGCTTGCTTCACCCCCCCCCATCCCCATCCCCATCCCCTCCCCCATTATAAAGAAAAAAAAATTGTTTTGAAGAAGGAAAAAAATTTCGCCCCGTTTTTTGTTTGTTACACCCCCACGCACCCCGATCACCGTCGTACGTCCAAAGCGGGGCGCGAGCGGCGCACTCCGTCACGGCGGTGCCATGAGCGGTCGACGTTTGCTCGCGATTTTAGCCGGGAGGCGCGAAACTGCCCGAGACGCGGGTCTCGTGCGGCCGCGCGCGTGCCCGCACCGCCACTTACGCCCCCCACCACCACCACCCACCGGCCCTGCGGAGCCTCGCCGAGTCTCGGGGGGGCCTCCCTCTCAGGAGGGTCCTGCCTCTTCGGGACGTTCGGACTCCTCGGCCGTGTGCCGGACACGTAACCGCAAGATCGACGTCACTCTCTCCGAGATGCTCTGTGGCCTCGCTGGAGGCGGCCTCTCCCCTCTCGCCTCGTCCCGTGCTCTCCGCTCCAGCGACCGATGAAAAGGGCCTTCTTCCGTCGAAACGCGACGTTCACCTTCAGCCTGTGGGAGGGGGGTCTCTCCTGCTCGCCCGTGCACCGGACACGTAACCCACATCACAGCCATCAGATCTTTCCACCGGCTCCCGATCCAGTATTTACATTTCCGCGATCTAACCCAACAATAACCTTTATAGTGGATGACATCGGTCGCGATGAGCAAGCACACGCTTCAAAATGTTCGCCACTTGTGCCATTAACGCTGCACCCACCAGAATGCCCCGTGGCATTCGCCTGTTCAAGTCTGCTGCCTCTAAACCCTGGAACTCCCAACCCTCCTCCAGTCGTCCGTGCTGTCCACTCCCTGCCCGTACTCAAGTCTCAGGGTAAAAAACCACCCTCTTCTCTTCTACCAATGATCGCCCCCATTCGAATATTAAAGTGCACTGTGGACTCCTGCATTCTGCAATCCCTCGTTGAATGCCATAAAAATGAAGTATTTACGAAAGGACTGAGTAATTCCCGGCGGCGTCCAAGCACCGCTCGGAATACCACCGAGGAAGAACTGACGGAGAATGGCTCGGCGACAACGTGAAAGATTGGTGCCAGAAAGATGCGCGAATACTTGGAGCCACGTTGGGTCAATAACTCAGCAAAGTTGAAACAAGTGACGAAACGCGCAGTGGGCACGTACGGGGCTAACTGAACCACGGGTCGTGGTGATGATGATGATGAGCAAGCACACGCTTCAAGATGTTCGCCACTTGTGTCATTAACGCTGCACCCACCAGAACCGGGGCTTCAACTTCTCCGCTCACCCTGTGGCATTCGTCTGTTCCAAGTCTTCAGAACTCTTCGTAGTCAACTCTCTACAAAATTAATAAAACACCGCCGTGTAAAGTTCTCAGTCTCTCCGTAACTCGCTGAACCCGTCCCGTGCTGGTCACCTGTGGAAACAAAACAAAAAAGCTTCAGAGCTCATGGGAGTCCTCCCCAAGACCCAATAAAGATTCTGATTCCGATTATATTCCGATTATATTCTGAATAGGCACCGTCAGCCTGAAACATCAGCTTTGCTGGAGGTCCGTGTTTCACATGGGAGTGTTTCACGTACCCCCCGATAAAACCCATGGATGTGAGAATAACCTTTCGACAGACTGGAGGCTGGAGACCTACTTTACTGCACTGCTCCCTAACCCTGACGATGCATGCAAAGCCGAATGGAGTTCACAACAAGTCACAGGCAAACACCTCCTCCTCGTGAGAGACCTGACGGCGCAGAAGATCCCCATGGCTTCCACCGTACACGACGCTCGTGGACCGCGACACCTAAGCCCCATCCGCAAAGCAACCATGGCAGATGCGGATACTTGATGATGATGATGATGCACACATCGAAAATGAAACCATCTCCAATGTACGACTGTGGTCGCCCAGAACAGACCACAGAGCACGTAATGACTCGCAAATACGGATGAGGAGGAGGAGGCGTCGTCGCAGCGACGCACCACTCCGCTCCCCCTGACGACAACCGCATGGCTCGTCAACCTCATCGATGTAAAACTGAAAGCCGTTGCTCTCGGCATCGACTTTTCAGCCACGAAGAAGAAGAAGAAGAGGAAGAAGAAGAAGAAGAAGAAGAGGAGGAGGAAGAAGAAGAAGACTTCCCGAAGGAGTACCGTGACCGCTACCACATCGATCACCGCGCGTGCACGCGGTGCGCATCCGCCCGCTCGCTCGCTCGCTCGGCCCCCCCAGTTGTAGAAATCTTAACAAACGTTTCCCTTTCCTAATTCTCGGCGCCGTTGTCCGGGTGGAAGTACACAGAAATGGGGCACGGGCGAATGGAAATATCGCCGGTAAAAATGGCACGCTTGGAAAGGAAAGGCTCCTGCGCGCATCGGCCGAAGGCCAAACCGCCGGCCGCCTCGGTGAGTTTATTTGGTGAGAAAACACGAGGGGGGGGGGGTGGGTGGGGGGTGGCGAGGGGGTTGTCCGGAGAGTCGAGCCACCGCTCTGAGTTTCTCACCGTGCGCCAGGACTCCATCTCGAGCCGACGGCCGTGTGAACACCTTGCCAGAGAGAGAGAGAGGGAGGGCGAGCGAGTGGGCGTCTCTCAAGAGTCTCCCACACGGCCACTCCCTAATTGATTGGAATTCCATCCACCTGATTGGAGTCATCAACTCGCCGCCTTTGTTGTTCTGCTTAACGCTCCCCGTGCCCCTCCTCGCCTCTTCTCCCTGCCAGCCCAGAGCCATCACGGCGTGGCTGACACGACAGCCCAACCGGCCTGGCCCAGAGTGAAAGGCGCCGTGTTGCGCGAGAACAAACACACATTTATTTTTTTAAATCTTACCAGGTAAGGGCCCACTGAGCTATACGGCTCTTTTTCAGAAGCGACCTGGCTTCTGAAAAAGCGAGGCGCTGGGAACGTGGAGCGTGAGGACACACGCAGGAGTGGCGGTCGGGTGACTGTCGAGGTCACAGACACCACCCCTGAGATCCTGGGTTCAATTCTGGGTTTCAGTTGCCCCACATCTGGTTGGTTGCGTACTGCGAAAAAGAAGTTCAACACACGTACATTTCATAATAAAAGTTTTTGGCTTATATCGCGTTATTTATAAATGTGTCGTAACCCTCCACCATCCGACACGGCCAATCGGTTAAAAATGTGTCACGTTGATAAAAAAAACAAAATAGTGCACTACTTTAGCCCACTGGTGTGTTGAAGAGTGAATCCACAACATTTCGATTTTTTTTATTACGACGTTTCGCTGGTAATTGCATCCAGCATCATCGGGCAAATTGCGAATTGTAGTGAACCATTTGTCTTTTGTCAACGTGACACTTTTTTACTGATTGGCCGTGTCGGGTGGTGGAGGGTTACGACACAATTTATAAATAACGCCATCTAACCCAAAAAAACCTTTATTATGAATAATATTGGTCGCGACAGCCTCCCACGTGTTAAACACGTGCAGTTGTTTATCTTTAAGTTATTTGTTTACATTTTCCTATACTTTGCACTCCTATTGTGTTTTCGTATTGTTTGTTGTTGTAACGTTCTAACCTGCTTCTACTGGACAACTGTGAAAAATAGCTTCGTAGCTCGTAGGATTACTCCTGCATAAATACATATTCTGATTCTGACATCCATGCCCCACCCCGTGATTAAACCGGGTTCTGGACCCTAACAAGTCGATGGTCTTAGCCCTGTCGCCGATGACTGAACATGAAATTAAAACTCTGATATTAAACTTGGGTTTTTACTTTTAATCTGACTGAACATTATACAGCACTTGAGTTATTCGATTCCAACTTGCGATTGACGTGGAGACGAGCGCCCTTTTCGGGGCGTCTGAGAGGCGCGTGCTTCGCGTGGATAAGGAGGCTTAATCGGCGTGACCTCAGAAGTGGTTCTTCGACTTCATCTTCTCGGGGCCATTCTCTTGACACAGGGCGTTGCTGCGAAAGATCCAAACAACAACAACAACAACAACACCAATTATCTTCGTCTCGTAACCCGACGCCCAATACCGCACCTGGAATACAAGCGGGGATGAAAGAAAGTTGAGAGTGCGAGATTAAGTCAGTGGAGTAGTGACTACATTATCAGTGGAGTAGTGACTACATTATCAGTGGCATAGTAACTACATTATCAGTGGCGTAGTGACTACATTATCAGTGGAGTAGTAACGACATTATCAGTGGAGTAGTGACTACATTATCAGTGGCGTAGTAACTACATTATCAGTAGCGTAGTAACTACATTATCAGTGGTGTAGTGACTACATTATCAGTGGTGTAGTAACTACATTATCAGTGGTGTAGTGACTTCATTATCAGTGGCGTAGTAACTACATTATCAGTGGTATAGTAACTACAAAATCAGTGGCGTAGTAATGACATTATTAGTGGCGTAGTGACTACATTATCAGTGGAGTAGTAACTACATTATCAGTGGTGTAGTAACTACATTATCAGTGGGTGTAATAACTACATTATCAGTGGCGTAGTAACTACATTATCAGTGGCGTAGTAACTACATTATCAGTGGTGTAGTAACTACATTATCAGTGGAGTAGTAACTACATTATCAGTGGGTGTAATAACTACATTATCAGTGGCGTAGTAACAACATTATCAGTGGCGTAGTGACTACATTATCAGTGGAGTAGTAACTACATTATCAGTGGTGTAGTAACTACATTATCAGTGGGTGTAATAACTACATTATCAGTGGCGTAGTGACTACATTATCAGTGGCATACTAACTACATTATCAGTGGTGTAGTAACTACATCATCAGTGACGTAGTGACTACATTATCAGTGGGCGCAGTAACTACATTACCAGTGGTGTAGTAACTACATTACCAGTGGTGTAGTGACTACATTATCAGTGGTGTAGTGACTACATTATCAGTGACGTAGTAACTACATTATCAGTGGTGTAGTAACTACATTATCAATGGCGTAGTAACTACATTATCAGTGGTGTAGTAACTACATTATCAATGGTGTAGTAACTACATCATAAGTGACGTAGTAACTACATTATCAGTGGCGTAGTAACTACATTATCAGTGGGTGTAGTAACTCCATTATCAGTGGCGTAGTAACTACACTATCAGTGGCGTAGTAACTACATCATCAGTGGGCGTAGTAACTCCATTATCAGTGGAGTAGTAACTACATTATCAGTGGCGTAGTAACTACATTATCAGTGGGCGTAGTAACTACATTATCAGTGGCGTAGTGACTACATTATCAGTGGGCGTAGTAACTACATTATCAGTGGGCGTTGTAACTACATTATCAGTGGGCGTAGTAACTACATTATCAGTGGCGTAGTAACTACACTATCAGTGGCGTAGTAACTACATCATCAGTGGGCGTAGTAACTACACTATCAGTGGCGTAGTAACTACATTATCAGTGCTGTAGTGACTACATTATCAGTGGCGTAGTAACTACACTACCAGTGGTGTATTAACTACATTATAATTGGTAGTAGTAACTACATTATCAGTGGGCGCAGTAATGATTTTATCAGCTCAGGGGGTGTGGCAGTCGGTCAGATGGGACCCCAATATTTGATTTTTCCCGCATATTCCCACCTCGGCTATTTCACTTCGCGGCTCCTCTTGCTTCAATGACATCATCCGTTACGCTCACGGTCTCGGACATTTAACGCTGTAGGTACGCTCCGTCTTCGCGATCCAGCCACTGCCGCTACGTAATTACCTCTTTGCGATATTGCGTTTCTGCTGTAACGAAATGGAAACAAAACGTGGAACGCAAACGAAAGCACGTTCATCAAAGTAAATTTAAACCGCGTTTTTACTATTCGTTTGTTCTTTGACACTTTTGTTGACAACATTTCTCATCGTGGATGTCAGGGGGGCTCCAACTCGTAGCTCTGGCCACCGGGGGGGGGGGTGGGGAGGCAAGGCACCCCCACGCTCGTTACGCTACCAGATAAAGTAGTACCCAAGTGTGCTTCTGTGCTGCGTGGCAGCCGAGCAAAAGGAACGGGCTATCGAAACGTGCGACCGTCAGCAACAGCAGCAGCAGGGAGCACGCCAGAGGCTTCAAGCACGGCGCGGCAAGGGTTTGAGCCTAGCTACAAAACGTCGACACAGACCGAATTATTTGTGTGTGTGTGTGCGCGCGCACGTGTTTTCGGGCTGATCCGAAAACTCGACGTCACGTGGAGTGACGTAGATGTCACAAACGTCACGTGGAGTGACGTCGCTCCCACGACGTCACGTCTGCGGCGCTCCATGCAAAAAAGTGATGTCACGTGGTATAGTGGGGGTGACGTCACTGTTGCTGAGCGTAGGGGACATTGTGCGTTATGGAAACCGAATGAAAACGATTCGAAAAATCGTGAACGTAAAAAAACAATATTCTCAAAATGTCCTTACAAATTAGAAAGCTGACAAAGTCTAAATCCGACACTTCATCCCTGGTTGGCTGTAAGCGCACAGGACCCTTGCAAGCTGCGTCTCTTTAAGCACCGCAGCCTCGTGACGTCGTCCATTCAGGACCCACCTCCGTCTCGTATCCACCACTACCACCACCATCACCACCAAAGGGCATTGCGGCCCCTTGAAACGAAGCGACTTTCTTTTGTTATTTTTTTGTTACCCAATTCGAACAAAGAATGTCTCTGCTCGTCGATACGGTTGCCGACCCCCTTGCTCCAGCCTAACGGTGGAAAGAGAATGGCTGCTTTTTTTTCTCGAAACGTCGTGACAATTTTATTGTTTTATTTGTATTATTTTATTCTCATTCTACGTGACTTTACCGACAGGACCCAAGAAGAAGAATGGCTGCTGCCGCTGCTGCGCTTCAGCGTCTCGCGACTGGGAGGGTGCCTGAGTGATCGCGGGGTGGGGTGGGGGGCTAGCGAAGCGACGCATGGGGAACAGCGGCGGAGACGCGAAGGGCCCTGGTCTCATAGTGGCGCGTTCACCTGTCACCTCCTCCTGCTGCACAAACAAGCACGCTGGCCATGCGTGTGGGACAGCCGTGACCCGCGGCCACCCTCAACCTCGATATACCTGCGGAAGATTCCACAGTGCCTTCTCTATACGTACACACACGCGCAACATTTTATTTATACGTAAACAAAAGCCATACCCATCCAGTATTTAAACACGAACAACTTTCGCGGCCGATGTCGCGTGATTCGTAGTCGATTGTTGGGTCAGATCGCGTGAGTCAAACGTGTGTCGTAAAAAGCCTCCACCACCCGACATGGCCAATGAGGGGGGGGGGGGGAGATACGCAAACTCCACATATACAGGCGTCAGAGTCGGGATCAAACCCACGACCTCCCGTATACCAGGCGAGGTAGTTAACAGCTTACCACCGTGGTGCACTTAATAGGTGCTCGCCAACAGCACTTGTCCTGACAGTCTATGAAGCTAAGCGGGGAAGGGGGCGGTGGCAGAGATCTTTGTTCAGGGGCGTGCAATCTCGCTCCTTGCTATGCGCAACATTGGCAGCGGACAAAGCTGAGAGCAATGCACGAGACGCGGCCTCCCCCCTCGAGGACGGCTCGGACCCTACAAATCGCTCCACGTGCGATCGCTCAGGCCCAACGAGCAGTGGGCCTTGCACCATTGCCCCGTACGCCCCAACCTGCCCCGCCCGCTCCCCCCCCCCCCACCCCCCACATCCCGTGCCAACCATAAATTCACACAACGGGCGCTCGCTAACGGCACTTGCCCACAATTGTTTCACCTGAAACGGGAAGGAGAGTTTATTGATCCGTGTGCGCGCGCGCGTGCGCGTGTTTTTTTTTTTTTGGTGCGCTTCGACGAGAGGAGC